AATGCTCCTCCAACTCAATGAAACTGAAAGAGAAAGTTCACTACCGAACGAATTCTATGAAGCCATCATAACCCTCATCCCAAAACCAGGCAGGGACTCATCAAAGAAAGAGAAGTATAGACCTGTATCTTTGATGAACATTGATGCAAAACTTCTCAACAAAATTTTGGCCAATCAACTTCAACAATTCATCCAAAAAATCATACACCACAATCAAACAGGATTCATTTCAAGGATGCAAAGCTGGTTCAATACATGTAAATCAATTAATATAATTCATCACTTCAACAAGAGCAAGGATAAGAACCAAATGGTTATCTCAATAGATACAGAAAAAGCATTTGACAAGATCCAATACCCCTTTATGATGAAGGCTCAGGAAAAATTAGGAATCCATGGAATATTCCTCAATACAATAAAGGCTCTATATGACAAACCTACAGCCAGCATTATACTTAATGGTGAAAAACTAAAGCCATTTCCTGTTAACTCAGGAACAAGACAAGGATGTCCACTCTCTCCACTTCTCTTCAATCTAGTATTAGAATGCCTAGCTACAGCAATAAGACAAGATGCAAACATAAAGGGGATCCAAATAGGGAAAGATGAAATAAAACTCTCCCTCTTAGCTGATGACATGATCTTGTATTTAAAGAATTTCATGGACTCCACTCCCAAATTACTCATGCTGATTTGAAGTTTGGCAAAGTAGCAGGGTATAAAATTAACCCTCAAAAATCAATGGTTTTCTGTAGGCCAACAATGAGAAGAGCACAGATGAAATCAGGAAAGCAACTCCATTCCTAATAGCCCCACAAAAAATAAAATACCTAGGAATTAACTTTACCAAAGAAGTGAAGGGCCTCTATGATGAAAACTTTAAAAACCTGAAAAAGGAAATCAAAAGAGAACTTAGAAAGTGGAAAAAACCTCCCATGCTCCTAGAAGGGATCAGCATCATGAAAACGGCAATACTTCCCAAGGCTATCTACAAATTCAATGTGATACCTATCAATATTCCAGCCTCATTCTGCAAGGAATTGGAAGAGGCAATCCAAAAATCCATATGGAACAATACCCTGAATAGCAAAAACGATCCTTAATACAAAGAACAGGAGGAATATCAATACCAAATTTCAAACTAATACAAAGCCATAGTAATCAAAACAGCTTGGTATTGACACAAGAAGAGACCTCAGGACCAATGGAATAGAATTAAAAACCCAGAAATGAACCCACAGAACTATAGCCACCTAATCTTCAATAAGGGAGCTAAAAAATAGAATAGAAGAAAGACAGCCTCTTCAGTAAATGGTGCTGGCAAAATTGGTTAACTACTTGTAGAAAACTAAAGCTAGATCCTTACATATCACCCTGCACCAGAATCAAATGCAAATGGATCAAAGATCTCGAAGTCAAAGCAGACACCCTGAAAACATTACAAGAAGAAATAGGAGAAAGGAGAAACCCTAGGTCTCCTTGGCACGGGCCGAAATTTTTTAATAGAGACCCAAAAACACAACAAATCAAAGAAAGGTAAATGGGATTGCATGAAGTTGCAGAGCTTCTGCATGGCAAAAGACATAGCTAGCAAGATCAATCGAAAGCCCATAGATTTGGAGAAGATCTTCACTAGCCATACAATGGACAAGGGTTTCATATCTAAAATATACCTGGAGCTCAAAAAATTAAATCCCCCAACAACAAATCCTCAAAGAAACAACTGCCCAATAAATAAGTGGGCTAAAGACTTAAAGAGAAACTTCTCTGAAGAGGAAATGAGAATGGCCAAAAGACACATCAAGAAATGCTCAACCTCTCTAGTCATAAAAGAAATGCAAATCATTTTTTTTACTTTTGGTCCAATCCTGGGACCTGAACTCTGGGCCTGGGCGCTGTCCCTCAGCTCTTCAGCTCAAGGCTAGCGCTCTACCACTTGAGCCACAGCACCACTTCTGGCTTT